GAAGTGCTGGGACTTCTGCCAGGAAAAAAACATCGATTGTTTTAATATACCGGCCCCAGTAGTGCTCGAGTTCTTGACTGAAGAGTTTTGACGGGGAGCGACTTATGGCTGTCTCAACTCTCACCGTTCTGCACTCTCCTTAATTGCCCAGAAGGTCATTGCGAAAAAATCAGCAGTCCAACATTTTCTCAAAGATGTGGTCAAGCTCTATGCTGCTAGGCTAAGGTTCACTCACACCTGGGACCCTGCGTGTGTAAAGTCCTACCGTGAATCTCTACCTCCGAATGATGAGCTACGTATTGCACAACTCAGTGAGAAGACCGTTATTCTCTTGGCGTTATGTACAGCTCAGAGATTTCAAACTTTCTCCTTAATCAAGTTAGAAAATATTCAACAAGAAGTCGGAAACTTGGAGATTATGATTCCGGACAGAATCAAAACTTCAAGGATAGGTAAGAATCAGCCCTTCTTAATTCTTCTTTTCTTGACCGAGAGAATCCAAATTTACGTAGCAGACACCGTCCTCTCTTACGTATCCCATACTAACGAGATTAGGGGTGCTAATCCCTCTCTTTTTATGATGCTTAAAAAGCCCTATGAAGCAGCATCATCGCGGACGTTGACTGGTTGGGTCAAGTCATGTCTTGCCAAGTCCGATACGGACATACCCTCCTCAATTTTTCATAAACTTCGCTTAACTTTGAACTAATGAAAAGTTGGTAAGCTTCGCCGCTAGTGGCGCCATGACCGATTTTTTTCTTACTCTTTGGATTTGTTTTGTTTTTTTTTTTAATTTTTTTTATTTGAATGCGTTTAAGGCCTCATTAACCCATTGCCAGTGTTACAGTGCGGATGTGTTCTACATACATTCTACTATACATTTTTTTTTCTTTCTTCGTACTGTTCAGTCAAATACTAATACTGTTAAATTCTTATACTGTGTTTTTTCAAAAACTCATGTATAGTTTTCAACGCTTTGATGTCTAGTCTAGATAGCAGCGATTCAATATTAAACGGCCAAGTGCCTACATTTAATTTGATTAAATTCCTAATGAGAGCTTGCCTATTGTTCGATGTATTGGGACAAGACCATATAACATGATTTAGATCGTTGTAAGTATGCCCGCATTCACAACCTGGGTCATCAATTATATTGACTCTGGCTAATAATGCTGCTAGGTGATAATCATTCGATCTGGCCATGTTGACAAAGACAATGAATTTCCGGGAGAGTCGACGACAATATAAGTACCACGGCTTTGGTTTTTTCGTGGTTTGGTACTTGAAGAAGTCGGTTCTCTTATTGACTGATAATTCTGTTAGTGTTTTTTTTGTTTTCACTTTGCACGTTTTTTTGGTGTATTCCCTTAAGTCAGTGAATGGGACCCTGATGGCTTCGGGGTTTTGCATTGTTGCTGTCTTTGCCGCCAGGTCAGCTCTCTCATTCCCCTCAGTTCCTGAGTGTGCAGGCACCCAGCTCAATTTCAACTCTGTTCCATTATTTTGAGTGACTTTAAGGCATTCATCCAATTTTTCTTTGCACATGAATATATAAGGATTAATCGTTATATCGTGCTTGGAATTGTTGAGCGATGTAAGAGCGCTGAGGGAATCGGAGAAGATATGTACATTTTTGTCGAGGTGATTTTTTGCGGAATCAAGGGCTAGGTAAAGGGCTAGACTTTTGGCAGTATACATTGATGCTGAATGATCTATACTTTTACTTTCGGCAATGTTCAATTGCGGGCTTATCCAAGCAGCACCGACGGCTGGTGCATCTTTTCTTTTGCTCCCATCTGTGTATATATCGATGCGACCTGGAGTATTCAATTCATTAAGTACCCTTGTATCTGTGACTTTATCAAAGGGAATGGCCTGTGTGGTGATTGCATGGTCAAACCGATATATATTGTATTTTTTTTCCATATATAGGTTTGTGGTTTTTCCTAGTGCTTCTTCTAGACATTGTGAAATCAGGTTTTTTTTTTGTTTGGAAATTTGTGTGAAATATCTTTCGAAAATTGTAGCATTAGCCTATTAGTGAGCAAATCAGTATTGGAGAAGTTTTTAAGTATGAAGTTTAGACATAGATATTGAGCTCGATCTTTAAGGAATGTCATTTTTGATTCTGCAATAATAATATTTGTTGGCGTACTAATTCTATATCCGAACGCCGCTCTCAGCGCAGCGAACTGGATTTTTTCAAGCTTTTCTATTTGTCTTTTCCTAGCTGAGATATACAGGAATAGACCATAATCGATAGTGGCCCTGACAAAGTTTTTGTATATGGTTGTTAGGGTGCAGGGATCAGAACCCCACCAGGTGCCTCTGAGAAATTTTACCATGTTTATAGATCTGTTACATTTCTTTTTAACCTGTTCTAAGTGCTCTTTAAACGTGAATCTATAATCGAAGATAAGGCCAAGAAAGCGCGTAGATTCTTGAGTGCGCACATTGGTGTTGCCTATTTTGATCAAAATATCTCCCGGCTTTGCCTTTCTTTTTTTTGGAAAATTGAATGAGTTCAGTCTTATGCGGAGCTAAGTCGAGTTCCAGCGTATGCAACCTATCTTTTATTTCGTTCATCGCTTGCTGTATGCGATGTTTGGATGTTAACGAGGACTTATGACTGGTGATTAGTGCAACATCATCTGCAAACTGTGAGATAAGTATCTCCGGATTCACTCCATCAGTGATGTTTGAAACGTATATTACATATAAGAGAGGACTGAGTACTCCGCCTTGAGGTACCCCTTTATGTATTTTTCTAAAGTCATTTTCGAGAAAATCACTAAGAATGTATCTTTCATACGTAAGCTGTTGAATGAACCTCAAGAGAATGTCGCAGTACCTGATACCACGCAGTTTTTCAAGTAGCAATTGAGAATTTACATTGTCAAATGCACTCGCAATATCCAAAAAGGCCGCTAATGCCTCCTTGCCTTTGCTTAGGGCAGTTTTTATATGTAAATGAAAGTTAATCATGTTATTATAAGTTGATAAACCCTTTCTAAAGCGTGTTTGTGTTTTGGGAATCAAATCATTATACTCTACGTACCATTGTACTCGATTTTTAATTAGGGATTCAAAGAATTTACACATACAGGAAGTAAGTGCAATCGGTCTGTAACTTTGGCCATCTGGTTTGAGAAAGAAGTGTATAAAGTAGTTTTTCCAAGATTCTAGATAATCCGAAGTAGCAAACATGTCAGTAAAAATATCTAGTAGTAGTAGCTAGATCAAAGGTGGGCAACCTCAGCTCTCGGAGCTACTTCGGCTCCCGACCTCAATTAGGCTAAATTGTCTCAAGTCATAAAATTTATGGCTGCGCCCTCCTTGGGGCCCGTGATGCCCTGCGCGTAGGCAAGAGTAGAGGGGATATTCGGCATAAACTTGGTGGTGGGAAAAGTAAAATAAGAAAATTTTCAATTTTTCCCATGGAAACTTCCTTTTAATTACCCAAATTTTTATTCTGATTTTTTTGATTAGTTAATACGTTTATGCACTAATGCATTGCACAAAAAAAATATTCGTAACTTCCATATATTGTTTGAAGAGGAAATATTGTTCAGAAAACTATTAATAATTATTATTATGTTGTTGATCATAATAAATTTCCGAATTTCCCCTCTTTATTTTTCACTCTCAACGCCAAATTAAAATGCCGGAACATTTCCCTAAGAAAAATATTATCAGTGTCTTTCAATCCTTGGAAATATTTAATGCATAATTTTTAATCGATTCCGCTCAATATCGATCGCTTATTAACATTAATAGTATTTCTCAACAAAATAATAATAAAATAGAAAATAAATAATAATGATGTTTCTCAATTTTATTATGGAATCTGCCGGCATTATGAAATTGAATTATCACTTCGTTTTATTGAAAAATCTAATAAATTTGACCAATTTTCAATATGTCCTTGAGAACATACTAGTTCAAGCCATTTACGAAAAAATGTCCTGAAATCTTTCTTTTAAAACTCATTCCGTTGTGTAGAAACGGTTCTTTCAAAAACTTCGCCTTTTAGTATGAAAGAGTTGAAATAATGCAAGTAATTTCACATAGACTCAACTTTTTTGCGGCTTAATATTCAATAGTTTTCAGTACGTTATTAGCAACTTACAATGAAATTATGATATTAATCACCTTCAAGTAAAGTCCTACGAAAATGAAAATTGGTTTTTTATCGGTCAAGAAAATACCTCAGTTTCAAAAAAACCATAAATGGGTCAAAATTTCCTTTTCCTTGCTGAAAATTCACTCCAGGTTTTAGGCTTTGTTGGCGGGGAATTACCCGGACATAACTCACCAGTCCATCCAATTTTTTAATTTTAAGAAAACAGAAAATGTCCAAGCACGATAGAAAATTTCACAACATTTTCCCCTCACATTTCCATAGCGCGCATGTGCCATCTCCCAATATTACCCCCACTCGACAAATGTACGACAACCCTTGTAATAGCGTCAAGTCCCCTATAATTGGGACCTTAATTATTTTATGGCTGCAGCTCCGAGCCTACCTGAGGTTGCCCACCTCTGCTCTAACCACTCAACTAGAATTATCGGTGCGCATGAAGTGACTAGTCTAAGGTTCATTTAATTTATGGTATGGTAATTTAAGTTAATGAGTTTGTTCCGCGCTACCTGGAGGTTGCTCATCTCTGTCCTAAATGAGTAACAATAGGACAAATGTACCTCCCCTATACCTTTACAAGAACTATCAAAGTGCCGTACAATTCATATAGAGATGAGAAGCGATCCGTGTCCACATTGGGCACATAGATTACAATTTTCAGAAAACAAATAAGAATATTGACGAAGTTGTGGACTATCCTATAAGTATCCTAAGGCAATCTGTATGTCGTATTATCAAAATAATATGCTATGAGATTATCGATCGTCACAATCATTAACTAAATTGCTCCCCTACGTATCGGTATTCGCTCCTTAAAGTGATCCCATATTTTGATGCTGTGAATAAAGAAAATTAATACCTCGTAATTTTCGCCTTTCTTCTTATCCAAACAATCGCCACAAATGCTTCTCATATGTTCACTGCAGGCTTTCATCACAATGTCGTCAATCTGCAATCACAATTTGTATATTGAGAAAGCTTTTATGAACACGGAGAGAAAAATTTCCATCAAAATTGAAGAGAGGAGCATGTTGTAATAAAGTGTAATAAGTTCAAACCTACTGCTGCGAAAAAATAGCCAACAGTTACCTACACTGTACGGATAATTGTCGACTTTTTATTGCTTGTTTTGGCATTTTGAACGAGGTTTTAATTTCATTTGCGAATTGCTGATATTTGACATAATTTTCATTGATGTTTATCTGTTCGTGCAACTCTATTAATTTTGAAAAACATTTACCTCAAGCATCGTGACATATTTGGGCTTCTCTTTGAGCAATTCCCAGAGTAGTCCACCATCGCCACCACCCAAGATCACAATTTCCTTCCCCATGTAATTTTCCTTTCCTCGTTGCATGAGCGTTTCAGTGTATATAAGATCGGCCTCGGACATATCTAATTTTATCAGAATGTAAATAGTAGTAAAAAACTGTTAATTATGGATCGGTTAATTCGATACCTACTTTGCAGTTCATCTAACACCAGCAAATTCCCCAGTGATTTTGAATGAACAATTTCCACTTTTTGATATGGTGATCTGGCCTCAAATACTAACTTATCGATGTCATACTCCAGGAGTCTTTCATCTTGAGAATGAAATTTTAAATATTTTATAGATTACAAACAGCATGTTTTAAAATTATGTTAACACACATGATCATTTGCATGAAAAGGGCTACTCCTACAATTGACTTTCCAATTCCATTACTTGTACGTTAAAATATGGAGAATATTAGCAATACACAAGAAAAAAACTATTTTTGCCAAATACTCTTTTACTAGAGAGAAATAACTCTTCTTTCAATACCTCTAGTGTTTATCGAGTTGAGTCATATACAGAAAAGCGACAATAGGAGCCAATTGCTGTATTACTTCAGTAGGTGATTATGCCAGTTATGATCGCGTGTTAATTCCCTAAGTGATTCCTCACATTAAAGAGTTAGTGAAAATGGTGGGCTCGAAAAAATAGAGAATTCAGACACATTAAATAATTAGTACTAACCCCCCGAAAACTAGACAGAAGGCTGAGAGAGGTTAAGCGGAGCGCTTAAGGAGCATGCCCTGGAGTTCATTACTCAAGGCAAACCAAGCAGAAACGAACAGAGAGCGAGTTTCTGTTATGCGGGTACTTATATAACCGAAAGCGGCAGACTGTGGAATGTATGTAGTGTGACGCAGTGCCAAGCGATCCCTACTAAGTTACTGAAGCGGGACCGTACTGGTGATGCGTACGGGGTGTGTAGTTAATGTAGTGACGGCTACAGCGCCTTGAAATTCGCTGCGAGCAGATTCAAAATGCCGATCGGGCTAGACCCTTTTGGATACGCTGAAAATTCACTCTCGTTATACCCAGGTGGGGATTCACCATTGGTCCGAGCTTGGCCCAAGCTCGTTCATGGCCATCTGTTAACAGCGTATCAGGTGAGGAATTCAACGCTTCGACGAGGGGAACAGCCTTCCTTATCCAAGCTTACAAATCCTAGCTCCAATTATGCTGAATCCGACAGATTTAGATCAGGTCAACCATGCTTGGTGAAACTATACGCAGTCAAGCTTTGATAATGTTAGTATTATAAGGCGAGCTTCAAAAGGGAGGTTTCAGATGAACGTGATAGAACAGGTGATACCTAGGTATATGCAAACTTCGGGATTTCACATAATTGCAAGATGTGACACCGAGGCTGGAGCATATATGGCCCTAATTGGAGATTCCTTGCTTCCGCGGGGGCGCTATATCTAAGGTTCACCTGACATGTAACAGCTAGCTTCTATATACAGCAAAGCTATAGCGAGTATGGTTCGAGCGGGAGATTTTTGGCATTATCCGGGATGCTTTGTCAAGCTTGGTAAAATGTGTAATACGTACTTAGATCCAAGCTTAGTAATTCCACATGAATGCCAGGTGCGGCGTCCACCTTACTGCAAGCTTGGGTTATGCTAAGAAGTACTTGTTTCAAAAAGGGGCTTGACCGAGATCATTCCAAGCTTAATATTGTGACGGGAAAATAGATTTGTGCCGTCAATGCTCCTTCCAACTAAGTATTCTATACTTTTCTCTGAAGTTCACCCTGGCCCAATATAGTATCGAGGTGGAGACAAGCTTGATGATATGATATGAAAGAAGGCCGTAGACTCTACTTATGGAGACTCCTATTCAAAATTAGCGTTAGGCCGTTATTTAAAATGAGTAGCCAATACGGATGGAAAATATTTGAAACAATTATGGTTAGCACGCCCACGATCACATAATTAAAGCGTTAAGGCCCGGATGGAGGGAATTTTGACCCGATTGGCGACTTTACGTGGACAAAACCAGAAGCTTGATCTCAAGCGATGCCCTGTCGGTAACTACGGCAATTGCGGGAACCCGGGCAACATCAGAGAGTGGGACTTTGGAGGGCGCCTAAAAATTTTTTCATTCTTTTTTTTTATTCGAAAATTGCATGGGGGTATTCCATATGCCACCTAAGGTGGAATGGGGGATTTATCGCTGGATCACGGGGGGGAGAAGATGTACCCAAACGTGCAATACACTTTTTCCCACTCTTACCAACCCTTTTCAAGATGGTATGATGAGGTAATAAAATAAAAATCTCGGCCCCCATATGCACATAGATATATATAAATTTCTACCCCATTTTCCCACCCTCATCACATAATTTCCAAGCCGACCGACGGGGTAAAAAAAAGCTCAGTTCAGGTGAATATAGATCGATTTAGGAGATGATTCTGAGTCAATCGATACCAATAATTTTCAACCCCATTTTTTCAACCATCGATGCCCCTTTTCCCAGATGGCTGACGGGGTAAAAAAAGGGTCTACAGGTGTATCTAGATTGATTCACGGAATAATTCAACGGAGTTGCAGAGTCCAAACAGTGAATTGGAAAAAAATAAAAATAGAAAGGTGAACTGAGTGCATTGGAAAAAAATGAGGAATTGAGGGTGGGAAGAGTGTGCGAGGGTGCAAAGGAGGTTCATGGTGGGATGAACTCATTCGGAAAAAATGATGGTTGAGGGTGGAATGAGTCATGGGGAAAACGGAGATTGATGGTGGGATGAGTACATGGGGGAAACTAAGGGGTTGAAGGTGGACTGAATTTATCAGGGTGAATTGGGGTTTGAGGATGGGATGAGTCTTCCAGGGTGAAATGGGGGGTGAGGGAAGGATGAGTGGATGGAAAAAATGGGGGCTTGAGGGTAGAATGATTGGTCAGTAGAATGAGGGGTCAGTGCATGGGAAAAATGAGCGTGGAGCGTTGGATGAGTGTGTCAGGGTGAAATGGGGCTTCATAGTGCGATGAGTCATGGAAAAAATCCTCATTTCTGCCCGACACACTCATCCCACCGTCAAGCCCCCATTTTTTTCCATCCACTCATCTCACCATCAACCCTCGTTGTTTCCATAACTGATCCCACCATCCACCCCCATTTCACCCTGGCACACTCACCCCAGCCTCAACTCTGCATTTCCTCCAATGTACTCATCCCACCATCAACCCTCATTTTCCCCATGATGCAGATCGACTCAGAATCACCCCCTCAGTCGATTTACCCACCCCTGTGAAGACATTTTTTTTACCCCCGTATAGACTTCTACCCCGTCGGCTATCTTGGAAATGTCTTAGTGAGGGTGTGAAAACCCCCCATTTTATCCAGAAGCATTCTATCCCTTGACCCTAAAACCCCCCAATTTCCTGCAAATATTCATCCCATTTTCATCCCTTCATTTCAGCCCTAAGCATGCCTACCAACGCCATATTTATATACTTACACCTTTCTCAGTTCCAGTTTCACCCTTACACCCATCCTCTATCCTCACGCCTCTGTTTAACCTCTAATTTAGCAATTCACCCTCCCAACCCCATTTATTCGTATCCCCCCATTGGCATATTATCTCCCCTAAAGCGCCCCTCCTTCATACGCTCCTGATCACTTCTGCCGGAGAAGCTCATTTTTGCCTCTCCGAATTTAGGAGGCCCCACTATCGCCATCTACCTGATTTCAGTATCACTAAAAATTACAGCTGATCAGTTCGTCCTCACGAATACAAAATACGGGTGTCCAGTGCATCTAATCGTTCCAGGGAAAATCGCGAAAAATGCTATAATTATGTTCACGGGGTGGTAATTGGTTTTCGGGAGTGTAACATGGTTGTATAAAATGTGGTGACGGTTTTTTTGTTTGAGTGATTCAGCCGCCATATTTCTCACCACACGAGCATTTGGATAGTTTGCCTTGGTGAAATCTTCGCGAATTCTTGGAACGTAATTACACGTCCATTCCTCAATTTCCGTCCCCTGAGATCTAATTACCGCCCTGCCGAAAATTATTATGTATTTATTGACCCCAAAATCATATTTTTTGAGGGTCTAGGGCAGGTGGCATTTGGATTCCCGTAAAACACGTTTTTTCTGGCGAATTTCCTAGGGAAATGTCGGGCAAAAATCCCTCCACCCGAATTTTTTGCCGAATGGCGATTTTACGTCCTCCCACTTTGCCGTCAAAGCAATAAGCTTGATTTCAAACTGAAGCCTATCGATAATGGCGGAAATCGCTAGAAACCAGGACGACATTGAACAGTGGGGCTTGAGAGGGCCCCCAACAAATTTTTCATCTGTTTTTTATGTTAAATGAAAAATGTATGGTGTAATTCCGTTATTACTGGGGTTAAGAGAGTTTTATCTCTATGGGACAAAAAAAAATCGTTTGCAAATTTATGTTTGAATGGTAGAAAATTGTCTGAAACATCCAAATTGAGCATTCCCTTGGAAACACTTTTTTCCAATTATAGTTGGCATGCTTCATTGTTGTTAACAAATATAAAAATTGTTAAAAAAGAGGGGAAAAAATTGTTTTGTAAATTTAGACTCAATCGACCCAGAATAATGTAAAACTCCGAAATTTATTAGTCCATCCAAAACTTTTTTTAGAATGGCTTCATCTTTCTTAACAAATTCGGAATTTGTTTAACAAATTGTAAAACTTTGTCTTGTAAGAGTATTTTCCTGGGTCAACACCCCAGGATATTCTTCGAACTATTCTGGCTGCCGCCTCTATCGTTCACGATTGGGCGCCAGCTAGGTTTTTCTGGAAAACCTGATGGAAAACCAGCCGCGAAGGAATTTCGTCAACTCCGCGGACTTTCGGTGATGGGTCTCACAATGCCGAGCCAGCATCAGCATGACACGGTAGAGTGGGCGAGGTTCACCAACGTACGAGTAACTTCAATCACTAACTTCTACCGCGCGTACGGCATCGTCAACGATATCTTTCGGGGAATGTATTGTATAATGTAAAATTGTATAATGAATGGAATGTACTGTTCGAGGCACATGCGACGCAGGCATCCGGATACCTTTCTCACCCACCTAACGTCCACCCCAACTCGAGAGCTCGGTAATAGCAATCTCATCGCGAGTCAAAATTAGAGTTACTTCCCATGGAGGCGCGTGCGACCGGACCAACGGGAAACACCGTGAATCCCAGCCCTTAGTCCATCCCAACACCATGGGTTTCGCCCTAGAGATGGATCTCTGTAGCCTCAGACTCTCGTCCGTAGCCTCAAAGTAATCCATTTCACTGA